GTACAACCTTGCATTTGGAAACTAGAATCAATCAGCATGTACCTTCCAAAATACGACATGGTAAGATAGATAAAATATGCTATCTTCCCCCCATGAATATGGAATCGGCTATTGCTCAACATTTAGTTGAGTATATAGCCTGCGCCAAGTCGTATAAAAAAGAGTGGTTTAAAATTATTCATACAGCCGATTCCAACAATCATTTGAAGATTTTGGAATCGGTCTGCATAGGATTAAGGAAACCTTCACTCTGCTGGCAGAAAGAATTTGTAAAGTCTCTTAATCTGTTGGGGGATATTTTATTTTAACTGTCCCTCGCTAATTTATTTACACGTTATTTCCCCTCCCCTCGTTACAAGTATATACACTTGTTTGTTATTTTAGTGTGTTTCCCCCCTTTTTGGCTCTTCATTTTCGTTAATATTCTTTTCGTTGATTAATTATCCAACGATTGTCTCCTTATGAGATGTTGGTTGAAAGGGCCTTAGAGACTTTTAATATTAAAATCAATACATTCCTTGTTTTTAAAACTATATATATATATATCACTTTAAACGTTTTTAGCGGATACTCATACTTGAGTAGTTACTCCGTCTATTTATTAAACAATGTATTTATTTATTTTCATCTACCAGCCAGAATATTCGAGAAATCTTGTTAAGAAAAATATGAAATTTAATAAGATTTATTGCATATTCAGGCCGGTAGACTAAAATAAATAAATATAGAAAGCAACCTCGGTTCACGAACGTCTCACATGTCGAACAAATCGGTTTTCGAATAGAAAATTTGAGATGAAAATGCCTCGGCTAACGAACAAAATTTTGGTTTCTGTCTATATTTCTGAGATGAGGTATCACTATTTACATTATTCGGACTACTGTCCTCACCTTTGTCGACATATTTATTACAACGATAAATATATGTTTATTCTATAATTTTATAATATTATATTATAAAATATTATAATTATATAATGTCATTGCCACTATTCACTTAAAGCCTCAACAACTTCTTGAAAAAGCTACGAAACGCTTACCCACGAAGTTCGTAAGCATCATCGTCCAATCCATAATATATAATACGTTGCAACCTCGGTTCTCGAACATCTCACATGTCGAACAAATCGGTTTTCGAACAGAAAATTCGAGATGAAAATGCCTCGGTTATCGAACAAAATTTCGGTTCTCGAACAACATTCCGAACCGAGTTAATCCGAACGGAATCATTTCTAAGTCGACCGCCATGTTGTATACTTTCGTGAGTTTTACTGTGTTTGTCTTTTTCAATATTATTGTACTGTGTAATTTTTTCTCTTCATTAATCCTTACTCATGGCTCCAAAGAAAGCTAGCAGTGATACTGGTAAAGGAAAAAGAAAAGTTAAGAGAAAAAACAATTGCTGATGATATTGTCTCTTCCTACTCAGTTTCATATGACAAAAATCAACGATCTCTACTATTCTTATAAATAAAGAGACGATCATGTCTTTCCTTCTCCTTTTCCAAACAATAACATCTCTTTCCTTCCCTTTCTATTTACGCCATCAACTCTCCTACATGCAGGTACGGTAAACTTGAAGTATTTGTCTATATTTTATCTCTTTAGTATTGGGTTAATTTATTTTCTTAGATTTAATAATTAGTTTTATGCATTATGTGATTTTCATTAGTTTTGTGTCTTATGTGATTTTTATTAGTTTTACGTATTACTAGCAGCATGACCCGGCGTTGCCCGTGCTTTATTAAAAAATCGTACGACTCATAGAGCAATTGCTATCACTTGACTTAAAATATTTTTGCCCTTCCTTGCCTTTAAAGGAGTGCCCTTTCCGTGCTGATGTTGCTGCATGCCTTACTTCTTTCCTATCTCACACAGCTTTAAAAAGGACTCGTAACTGGAAAAACCGAATGAAAAAAGAATGTTAATAACAAATACTTTTTCACACCCAATCCAGTTCTGCGGAATCAGAATCAACGTTGAGTTTAAGCAAGCGAATGTGCCAATTGGAGTAAAGTGCCATGCAGATTTAAATTTTTCCCACTTGTGACGAATGCAACTATCAATTTTTTTGCATGCTAGTTAACATTCGTGTCAGTCAGCTATTGGCTCTCACTCTAGTCAGTACAAAATGACCGCAAACTACATGAAAACTGCCGTAGAAGCATGAAAAAATCGATTATTTTCACTATCGGAGTGGACCTAGGAACAACAGCAGTTAAGAGGTGATTCCACATAGATCGAAATCTACTGATCAGAGTCCTTGTAGTTCATCGTCATACTTAGAACAATAAACTTCTCAGAGTCTTCTCATAAACTGAGTCTTTTAAATAATGATGAAAACTACATGCTTTTGATGTAATTTAATATTTCATTTTAATAATATTACAATGCAATATCAACGTAAAACTCTGAGCAGTAAGTAGTTGTTTAGAAAGTCTGGTACAAGCCCATAAAGGGCGCCCACTGGGGACCTGACTCACTACAGTAATAAGCATCTGTTAGTTAAGTGTTGTTCCACGGTGACGCCCTATGTATGTTTTCTAGTCTTAGCTTAATCTGACACACGATCAGAATATGGGGGGGAGTTTCTAACTTTAGTACAATATTACTTGTATGCAAGACTAAATTTCTTAACATAACACCAATATGAAGATTACTATTATAATACTAGTTTTAAGTTCGCTGCTAAATGAATGCTCCGTGACTCAGGCCTTTTGCATGGCTTAAATACAATATCTACAAGTGGACAGCAATGTAAATAGGTAGTATCCTTTTGTTGTTGTTTTAGCAGGATCTTACAGGTGATACTTTTTCGGCCATGACCAGTCAGTAGAAAATACTGAAAATTTTTTCATCTCAGAAATTCGGATAACAGTAGAGAAATGAATTATACAAGTCTCAACCTATTTTCCTAAATCTAAATCAGAATTTTTAATTAATCACCCTTGATTGGTCCGAGAACTTTTCAGTCTCTTACTTCTTACTGATGTCTAGCATAAGCATACCACTTGAATGATAATATCTTCACTTTATAATTCTATACACTGATGTGTTTGTAAAATCCGGGATACATTAAAATAAGGAAATCATTAAAAAAAAAATGTTCTTCAGCGCGAAACACAAAGAAAATGATTGAGTGGAAAATGGGCAGAGCAAAGTGATGATTGACAAGTTGAATGATCCAATCAAATTGGTGAAGGAGGGATTTAATATTTGGGTAATGCAAATGAAGAGATGCCATAGAAAATAGTGGATAGGTGTGCTACTTAATAGGCGGAACAAAAACGTTTAACAGAGGCAATGATCAGTAAAAAATAATAAATAGGGTGTGTCAGACTTTTCGTTTGAATGAATGATCAGCATTTAATAAAGTAAGTCAAACAACAGGAAAAGGCTGGGACAATTTTGACAAGCGAAGGTGGGCTATATACCGGATGTAACAGCTAAATTGTCCAAATCGTGTAATAGCATAATTGTCCATCCCACAAAATGTGTAATATCTAAAAAAAAATACTAAACTGAGTCTCTTTTTTTCCATATTTTCAGATAAGACGTTTAACCATGTTGACAATATTTTGTCGTAAGTATCACAGAAAAACCCTTTGTGTTATTCAACTAGAGAAAAGGTTAAAATCCTTTTGCTTCAGTCCCACTATGTCTTCCCAACTGAACAATGGTGAGAGGAAAAAGATCATTCAGGTCTTCAGTAATGGTGGCAACATTCATACTCTGGCTTCACTCTTTAAAGTCCTTTCAAGAACCGCCAAGAGAACAGTTAATAGGTTTTTAAAAGAGGGAACAGTAGAGAGGAAAACTGGATCAGGAGGTCACAACAGGAAAAGGGATCACCATTTTATTTTAAAGTTAAAAACATCCTTATTGTTCAAAATAGAGCCCAATAGTTCTATAAAAACCTAAGAGAAATCCAGTAAGATATATTTAATGATTTCTAACATACAACGGTTCAAAGTTTAATCTAACAATTGGACAATTTTGCTGCTACACCGGATATATATATATGTATGTGTGTGTGTGTGTGTGTGTGTGTGTGTGTGTGTGTTGTTGTTGTTGTTTCTGACATATCTGTTCTAGTGCTCCTGCTATATATCTCTAGATTCTCAACAAAATTCAAACAATGATCTGCAATGATATCGGTCGTGACCTGGCATCTCGGCTTCAGTTATATTTAAACTGTCGCGATGTGGCTTTCCTCTCTCTTTTCTATAAATATTTTCATGGCAATTATTCTAATGAGCTCTCCTCCTCCTTGGTATTTCATCTACATATATTTAAACGTTCTGCTAGATTGAGAAAATGTAACTCGCATTTCCCGTCTGTGGAAGTAGGCTTCCAGTTTCTCCTTTTTTAAAACCTAGGGTCTTCAAAATTTTTAAATGCTACTCCACATTGTACCTTCCTGAATTTTGCTTATTTCCCTTTCTACTTACTAATGTCTTCTCATTTTCTTTCATTCTCAATAACTCCCTTCGTCTATCTTTCATTATCGTCTTGCTTCGGGCATATATATATATATATATATATATATATATATATATATATACTTCAAAAAGTGTGGATGGTCCTGCACGAAACATTCACCACTATAATCAAATCTCATGTGCTGTTGTCGGGCTGTCTGTTTCCTGGGAACTGATCTGCTTGACCCTCATACGTCGAATTCGTAGGAAGAGTCGAGTATATATATATATATATATATATATATATATATATAGTTAAATTCCCAGATCAATTCTGTGCACGAGACAAATTATGTATATATATATATATATATGTGTGTGTTTGTGCGTGCGTCTGTGTATGTGTGTGTGTTCGCACGTGCGCTATCTAAAACTGTTAAAATTTATCAATCTTAATCTGTTGATTAATCTCATTTGTTCATTATCTAGATTATTAGTATCCTTCTGTCTATCGATCGATCACATTCTGTTTTTATCTATCTATCTCTGTTTCTTTGTCATATTTATCTATCTCATTCAGTTTCTATCTACCTATCTCTATCTCATTATGCTCTTATCTATCTATCTATCTATCTCATTATGTTCTCATCTATCTCAATCTGTCCTTGTCCATCTATCTCATTCTTATGCATCTATTTGTTTCTGTTTTATCATATTTATCTCTATCTCCTTCAGTTCCTATCTATCTATCTCATTCTGTTCTTATATGTCTATTTATCTCATTCTTTTCTTATCTATCTATCTATCTATCTGTCTGTCTCTCTATCTATCTATCAATCTATCTATTTATTTCAGTTTGTTCATAGTTATTTATATATCTATCTCATTCTCTTCTTATCTATTTATTTCGCTTTATTTATTAAAGACATATTTTATGTTTAACGTTGTTATTTTATAGATACAAGTATTTAAGCAAATGCTCTGTTTATGATAAACAGTATTAAATAACATTTACCGGCCTGAATGTCCGAGAAATTTTCATAGAAAATATTCGTTCTTTGACAGAGATTCGAACCTGCATCCTATACGGAACCGTCATATACGAACGTGCCTTACCAGCTTAGGCTACAAAAAGATTCGGGACAAGGTCAGACAATTTTCCATGAATCTCATTCATTCATAGGATGTCAATTCGAATTAGTCATGAATTGCATAAACTCAAATTTTCCATGAATTAACGTTACATTCAGGCCGGTAAATGTTATTTAATACTCGATCATAAACAGATTTGCTTAAATACTTGTATCTCAAAAATAACAACGTTAAACATAAAAATATGTCTTTAATAAATAAATTGTCGGACCTTGTCCATTTCTTAATATATTATTTCGCTTTGTTCACATTTACCTAAATATCTATCTATTTAATTATTTCTTTTTTCTTATCTATCTATCTATCTATCTATCTATCTAATTATTTCGTTTGTTCATATCTATCTATCTATCTATCTATCTATCTATCTAATTATTTCGTTTGTTCATATCTATCTATCTATCTATCTATCTATCTATCTATCTATCTAATTATTTCGTTTGTTCATATCTATCTATCTATCTATCTATCTATCTATCTAATTATTTCGTTTGTTCATATCTATCTATCTATCTATCTATCTATCTATCTCACTCTGTTCATAAGTATTTATTCTGTTATTCTGTTCATATCTGTCTTAGTATTTTCGTCTATCCATTTATTTATCTTCTGATTATTTCTTCATCGCTCTTTCAAATTTTATTCGTGTGAACTGCACTCTTTCTTCCTCTTTCATTTCATTTCTCTCTCTCTCTCTCTCTCTCTCTCTCTCTCTCTCTCTCTCTCTCTCTCTGAGCAAACGACCTCTGCTATTTTCTTCTTTTCTTTATCTTCTTGTTTTTTTTCCCTTTTTATCACAAACTTTACCCTAAACCCTACCGACCCGATACATTAACCTGACGAAGTCACCCGCAGCAGAGAAGTACTTTCGCGCCTAGCCGCCATATTGACGGCAATTAGCTTATCTTTTTCCTTCAACTCACTCCTTTTTTTTCCTCTTTCGCTGCCATTGATGCCGTCCATCTTACCGTGATCATATTTCGTGCACAGGCTAACACCGATGCGCACTTGCTAGTTCGTCACAAGAAATGAAAGAAGGAACAAATAGATGAAGCAAAGAAAGAAACGCCAAGAAGCGAATAAATGAAAAATAAAAGGAAGGAAAATTCTATTGGAATGAATTCATATGAAGAAAGTAATGAACAACGCGAAGAAAGGAGAAGCGAAAAGAAAATGAAACAAAAATGAATGAATAATTAAGGAATGAATTTTAAAAAAAAGTGTGATAAACGCCTATAAGTGGGGAAGGGAAAGAAAGATGGAAGCAACAATAAAGGTGTCTAGCCAAAAGAAAGAAAGAAGGAAAGAAAGAAAGAAAGAAAGAAAGAAAGAATGAAAGAAAGAAAGAACAAGTAGAATGATGAGGAGGATAAAAGAGGAGATTAAAAGAAGAAAGAGAAGAATGAGTGTAGGAAAAAGAAGAAACACATGGAAGACAACGTGTCGAGGAAGAAATATTCGAAAGAAAGAGGTATAGGAAGAAGATGTTATATTTATGGAAATCTAAAAGAAGGAGAAAGGAGAATGAAAAAACCAAAAGAAAATAAAAAAAGGGTGAAGTTAAAAAATGAAATGATAAATTACATAAAGATGTGTGAGGAAAAGGAAAAAGAATGGACAATTCAAGATGGAGGAGTGATTATAGATGTACTGAATGAAAGAAGAAAAGTAAAAATAGTTAAGACAAAATGTGTGAAGGAGAAAAGTTGAGCAAAAAGAAACAGAGGAATAATTTAAAGAAGAACTTGAAGAATTTGTAAAAGAAGAAGCGGAATAAGAATTAGGAGAAGAAAGAGAATTTGAAGATTTTCAAACAGAAGAATTCGAAAAGCAAAGGAATTTGACAGTGAAAAGAATTTGACAAAAACGACAAATTTGACGAAGATGGATTTTAAAAGGGAGAATTTGAAAAAGAAATTTTAAGAGGAATTTGACGAATATGAATTTGAAAAAGTATAATTTTTTTAAGAAAAAAAGAAATTGAAAAAGGAAGAATTTGAAGAATTTGAAGAAGAATTTGAAGAATTTGAAGAATTTGAAGAAGAATTTGAAGAAGAATTTGAAGAAGAATTTGAAGAAGAAGAGTTTGAAGAAGAATTTGAAAAAGAATTTGAAGAAAAATTTAAAGAAAAATTTGAAGAAGAAGAAGAATTTGAAGAAGGAGAATTTGGAGAAGAATTTGAAGAAGACGACGACGAAGAAGAAGAATATAAAAAGAAAACAAATTAGTCAGTGATTCTCCAGCTGTCACGGCGCAAAAAAAAAGCAATAAATCGAAGGTTATTCTATTTCTCTCTTCACGATTGAGTGATTGATCTGTCGATCGTCCTTTCGATTTGGGGGGTAATTATTCCTTAAGCCTGAATATAGATGGGATTTTTGTCTTCTTCTGATTCTAAAAAATCGTCTCCACATAAAGAGGAAAGGAAGAAAATTTTCTATTTCTCAAAAAACGACAAAACATTTCAGCTCACAATTCATTTTAGACGAGAATTCATCGCCGAAGTGCTTCATAATACTTGCTTTGGTTGTTTTCTACTACAGAGGTCGTCATGTCATGAATTCTGTGACACATTAAGAACGTTAAGGCATCGCAGGTGATGCAGCCGTAGCGGATGCGTCTTAAAAAATGCGAAGACCCACATTGATCGCGCGTTGTAAGCGTAAATCTTTAGAGTAAATTCGAAGTAGAGTAGTTTATGCGGATAGGAAGGGAAGGTAACGGTTAACCCTAGCCTTGAATGGGCTGGAACACGGTGGGAATGAGGGTGGCTTGTTACAATGTGAGTGGCATGGTGGGTCCGAGCTGTGAAGGATTAGAATTGGTGGAACTAAGGAATTCAGATCGTCCGAGCACTTTCCATGGAAGTACCGATAGAGCAGTGAAAGACTTGCGACATCCCATCTGTGAGAGAGAGGTTTTTTTGGTGGGGGGAAGTAATTTGTTACCAATAGGGACTCGGAGACGCTTTTTGACTTTATCGCGACTGGAAAGTGAGGATTGGGCAGCTCCTGCCAAAATATGACAACAGATCTACAATTTAGGTTTGATTTGTCTATTGTGAAGGTAAAGAATAGAGAGTATGGAGTCAGGTTCTTACTGGAGCGGTACAGGGGGACCGACCATTTTTCCCGCATCTTTAGCGATGGATTATATGTACGTGTTTCACCTGAGGTCAGGGATATATTTAAGGCCCAATAGTCTCTCAAGGCACGGAGCATCCACGAGTGGGTATCTATTCATCGAGGTTGGTGGTCGTTTGCGATCCGATCGGCGATGATGTAACTAGTTTGGTTTGGTTTGATTTGGTTTGTTTTACGGCATATCAACCTGAATGGGTTATGTAATGCCACAAGATTTTTATTGTTGGTAATATTTTTTCCCCAAAATATATTGCTGGTAATATTTTTTCCCCAAAATGTATTGCTGGTATTTTTTTTTCCAAAAATGTATTGCTGGTAATATTTTTTTTCTTTTTTTTTTTTTCAGAAATCAACTGCTGGTAAAAATTTTTCCAAAAATTTACTGCTGGTATTAAAACCTGTTTTTTATACTTTCATAAAGTTTTAACCCTTTTGGGATTAACTATTTGTCCATAGCTGGGACTCTGACAGGTACTACTATCCTGGATAAGACAATAAAATACATCCAACAGCAACGCCTCTGATCAGGAGGTTTTGAGGACCTGGAACCACCTCTTAATTGCTAGTGTTCCCAGGTCCACCCTGACCCGGGGTGGTAGCACCTGTTAGGATCCCAGCTAAATAATTAACTCCTAAACTGGAGTCAAAGCGTGTAAAAATAGGTTTTATTACCAGCATTTTTAATAAAAAAAATTATTATTAGCAATACATTATTAGCCGCAATACATTTTGAAACAAAATGATTACCAGCAATAAAAAATCTTTCAGCATTAAATAACCCATTGAGGTTGATATGCCTTAAACCAAACCAAACCAAGCCTAAAAATCTTGTCGGTATTAAATAACCCACTGAGGTTGATATGCCGTAAAACAAACCAAACCTGCAGCAAAATCTGCAATAGTTCTTGGAAAGAAGCTGTCTGAATGGAACTTCCTCCTTATTAATGGAATACAAAGAAAATGAGGATGATTCACTCTTGTGGACGTGGCGTGAGGGGTATGAGTTGTAAAGGTCAGGGCTGGTGGGACTAAGGAATGTTGTCCATCAGAACACATGCCATGGAAATAGCGATAGAGTAGCGAAAGGCATGAAATAATTTGGATTCCTAGTTTTTTGCAGAGGAAATATCGCAAATTGAACGAAACAAGTTGATGTTTAATCCTTTCGGCTTGCCTTCTTTCACTACCTTCGTTTGTGTAGGTTTTTTTTTTCTCTGTCTGCTATCAACAATGTATCATTTGCATACCTTATGTTGTTAAGACAGTGGCCGCTAATAATGAATCCTGGTAGGACTTCCGCTTATATAAATTGAATATGTCTGGTGAGAAGACACATCCTTGTCTTATAACCCTTTCTATTTTTGTATATCTACTGAACTCATTTTCTATCCGTATGCAGGCAGTTTGCTGGAGAAATGATTATCTGCCATTAATTTTAAAAATATATAACAACTTTTGCTTTCCCTTTTTTTTTTAAATATTAGTTTCTAAGACTTTTATACAAATTGTATTTGTAGGAAACGTTTTTAAATTCCAATCTGGAAAATGCGTACAAGGGAAATGCAAAAAA